GTGCCTAGACCTTACCTTCGGCGCCGATGACCGCCAAGTACTGCTCAACGTTGGCCAAGGGCTAGCCCCAACCATTAGGAATACGGAAAGTAATGTGGAGTAGGACTTACCGACAACTGGGGTCTTGGTCACCAAGCAGTCGTACTCTGTCCAAGCAATCGTATCTAGCGACCTTCTTAACCGGGGCATCGGTGCTGACGGACTAGGATCTTTTGAATCCTAGCTGGGCATTGGCTAAGAGATTAACAGGTTTATCAGATGTGGTAGTAAGTGTAGTTGCAGGACCAAGGAGGATATCGGCTCGTGGGTTATCCGTAGGAAGATGAGTAAAGAGTATATGAAGGTGTGGGGAGTCTGGGGCAGAAGATGTCTAGGAACCTCTCAAACGACCAGTCTGATAGAGAGTCGTTGTCACCATGGTTCACGTATCTTCGCTGTCGATTATTGGTTCTGCATTGGTCGGGTTGAGCAATGCTGCCGCCTTGGGTACTGCGGAAGAGTATGCTGATGGAACGGTGCATGCGAGGATCATGGCAATGAAGACAGTACGCTTTCATTACTGCAATTGAAGTTACTGGTTCTTGACTAACACGGCTAGGCGCAATGGGACGCTGAAATCGCCTCTGGAGAGATGGATAGCACCCGGTATCCCGAACTTGGTTATACGTCGTGTGAGAACGGCTTTGCTGCTGCAATCCCTGGTGACTTCAACAACACATTCAAATGCCATAATGTTGGTCTACTCGAACTTAGAGCGTTTCTCAAATTGCTGACATGCGAAGATCGATCTCTACCATTTCCTTCCACATTCCCTCCTCGGCAGCTCTCAAGGCCAAGGATCCTCTTCCTGGGGATGGACATCCGAAGATGGACGCGAGTTCGTAGCAATCGGTCAATTCGATGGCACAGCCTTTGCAGAAATCAGCAGTGAAGGGAAGCTCATCTATCTCGGTCGCCTGCCTCCTTTTGACCCTATCGGATCCCGCTGGCGTGAGATTCGCGTGATGAGGGACTATGCCGTCATTGGTAGCGAGGCCATCAACCACGGTGTTCAGATATTTGACATGAAGAAGTTGCTTGATATCGATGGGAGTGAGCCTGTGAACTTCACCCAAGAGGATCTGACTGGCCATTGGGGGCTGAGCGATGATTGGAATGCCCTCCCGGTTGGCCGGACCCACAACATTGTCGTCAACGAAGAGCTCAACTACGCCGTAGCAGTAGGTTCCGTCGGCGGCAATGAGACTATTCGGGTTCGTGGTGACTTGCCATGCCGTGGAGGTCTAATCTACATTGACATGAGCGACCCAAGTAACCCTACGAGCCCTGGCTGCGCAGCCGCAGATGGATACGTCCATGATGCCGAATGCATCGTTTACCGCGGACCAGACACAAAATATTATGGGCGCGACATTTGCTATGGCTACAACGAAGACACTCTTACCATTTACGACGTGACCGACAAAGCTGGCAACACCACCAATATCATCTCCCGCACTACATACCCCGGTGCAGAGTATGTGCATCAGGGCGTTGTCAATAATGCGACCTGGCAAGAATACCTCTTCCTTGACGACGAATTCGATGAGCGCGATGCCCGCGTTGGGCCCATGACGCAGGGTCTGCCGTAAGTGTTCCTGTATGAGCTGCATATGAGACATAGACTGACTTCGTACACTTACATCTAGTACGACCCACATATTCGACATCAGAGACTTGGAAAATCCTTTTTACTCTGGAAACTACGAAGGAAAACGCCGTAGTATCGACCATAACCAATACGTTGTCGGTGAACATCTCTACCAATCGAACTACGGAAACGGACTAAATGTTCTGGACATTCATTCCATCACGCAGGACCCAAGCGGCAACAGCATTTGTGAAGCAGGCTTCTTTGACATATATCCCGAAGATGACGAGAATGAAGGCGGCGGCACAGTAGCTTTCCTGGGCTCATGGTCCAGTTACGCAAATTTCAAAAGCGGTTTCATCTTCGTACACACCATCGAGCGCGGTAGTTTCGTAGTCAAGATGACTAGTAAAGAGTGTGCGAAGCCAGCGGTTTGCGAGGCAGATTCTTGTCTTGCGTCAATGCGTACAGCAAATGTTGAAGGTAGACTGGGCGCTTCGCAGGAATTCTGCGGTAACTTCACGCAGAGATTGATCGATGACGTACAAGTTGTTCCAGAGTTTGCGAGGGAAGCGTGCGCTGGGGAAGATGTGGTGGCGAAGGTCAGTAGTGCATGCGCTTGCGTGCCTACTATTGCCGTGCCGGAGTTACCCAGGACGACGACTAGGGGTCCGGTGCCTACTGTACTGCCGCCTAGGGCGTAGATGGAAGAAGTTGTGGAGACGAAGGATAGCGCTGATAAGCAGAACCCGAGAATTACGATGGCGATATCCTGGTTTGGAAGCAAGGTGCGAAATGACGAGAACAACACTCCCATCTGCAACCATTCTACGAAACATCTACCATAATGAATACCATCTTGGCCTTGTTTCGAACATTGATCAACTGTGAGAGCGAGCATACTTTTCTGCGCGATGGACGTAGAACTTAGATCTGCAGAGCAGCATAAGCTGTCGTGATAGATTGATATATACGGTGAAAAAATATAGATACAAGAGAAAAGGGAAGAGCCACAGGCCCTCCCTGCCACACCTAAACATTACTCCATGATGCTTTTCATCATGCCCTAATCCTCGTCTCAGCACTTAGCAAGAAGCGCCGGTAGGGATACCGGAGCAGCTAGTGCTCTTCTTTCCACCAGTGACGCTGTTGCCAGACCAGGTCCAGTTGGAGCAGCTACCCTTACCGCAAAGGATGTAGATGTCAGTACCCTTGGCGGCGACAGTACCCTTGACGTTCTGAATAGTGAGGCCAGTAATCGGGACACCGGTAGTGGGCTTGCCAGTGGGGGAGCCGTTCTCGTAGTCTTGCTGGATGACGATACCATACTTGGCGATGTTCTTGAGAGTGATGTTCTTGTAGGTAACGCCAGAGACGGAACCAGTGGCGCCAGAGACGGTCTTGATGCGGACACCGTTGTCAGAGTTGACAATAGTGTTGTCAGAGATGACGACGTTCTTGACTACGTTGTCGCTGCGACCACCAACGGAGCCGATGGAGATACCGTGACCGCCAGAGCAGGTTCCACCAGTGAAGTGGATGTCAGTACCGGAGTTGACAGCCAAGCAGTCGTCTTGGTTCTTGATGTTGGCGTTGGTGATGTAGACACCAGTGGAGCTACCAACATCAAAGGCGTCGGTGTTGTGGCCACCGTTGGTTACGTCACCAGCAGTGTTGTCGATGGTGATTTTGTCAAGGGTAAGGTCCTTGGCGCCGTTAACGGAGAAACCCTGGACAGGGGTGTTCTTGACGTTGAGTCCGGTGATGGAGGACGAGGTCATGGAGTGAGCATAGAAAAACTTGCGAAGTCAGCAAAAGCTCAATAGAAGTTCTTGGTCCAACATACCTTAGGCTTCTTCTTGCCACCGTTAGTACCCTTGCCATCCCACCACTTTGCACCGTTTCCATCAATGAGGTGGCCAGAAGCACCAACGACCTTGATGTTGGTTCCGGAAACAGAGATGAGGGGACCCTCCCACTCCTTGTAGCCGAATGTGGTGGTGCCCTGGAAGGTAACAGTAGTACCAGACTTAAGCTTTGTCAAGTCAAGAGTGGTTCCTGCTGGGACTGTCATGTCTTTGATGACAATGGCAGTGCAAGAAGCCTTGCCCTTGATGGCGGCAGCAGCATCGGAGAATGTGCAGCTCGCACGAGTGTCCAGGCTCGAAGGAGCAGCAGAGACGAGCGCGCCAGCGCTGAGGAGGAGGGATGTGAGTGCAAAGGCAACCATGATGAATGTAGCTTGGAAAGAGTGACTTTGGAAATGAATGTAAGGCTGTTGTGTGAGAAGTGAATGAATGAGTGACTTGATGAGGCTCCAAGGAGGTGACAGCACCAGATCTTTATACAAGAGCTTCAACGACGGTGGCACGTAGTGATAGGTGGGATAGGTGGGACCATCGGAGGATTCACACACGACTCGTAGTCAAGCTCGAATCCTTCGAAGCTTGTGACTGCTGGGCAAGGCTTGTCACTGCAGAAGTCCAAGGGTCTCCGAGAAATGAGGGCACCAAGCAGATGGCTCTTGCGCGGATGTTTTCGCTGCCTGCAACAGGTGGATCCACGGTACAGGTTGCTCCGCTTCATATGAATGAAACGACACCAGGACTTGATCGCATCGTTCACTTGTTCATTGGCGCAATCGCAAAGCGTCGTCGGCCACTTCAGTTTCCATTTTTGTAAGACTGGCCAAGCATACTTGTTGCAACCAAGCATGTGGTTCTCCCGAGGCTCAAGCTTTTGCATCGTGGGAACTCCTGTGGGCCAATATCCTATGTTTGTGTCGAGTCGTGCCAGATTGATGGTGAAACGAAATGGGCCCACAACTGGTCTAGACGCGTGGCGCCGCTGTCGTGTGGCGCGATCATGTCAAACGCCATTGCGAATACGCAACACACGGTAGTGGCGCCTGCAGCTGATTGATGGAATGTCTTCAGCCACTTGATGAAACAGCCACGCGATTGGAGCGATGTGCAGGATTCACGGAGAATTTTTAGAGTGGAAAGGGCAGTCGCATGACCTCTGGAGCGGTTTCCAAAGGCGAGGTGAAATTAGCGCCCGGCTAGCGTCCCGTCACCGAAAGCATCAGCGAGATCCCGCTGTTGCATGAACTCTCCCTCATCTCATGCTTACTTGCTTAGGTGCATGTTGGAACGCCTCTTCACTGTAGAGCTTCCACGTGCACATGATCAAAACAATTCTTAGCCACACTCGGCTTGCGACACGGTTCGGAATGTCACTTCTCAAGCCCTCAGCCCGCGAATCAGGATAGCACGGCAGGGAAGCAATTAGGTATAGCCGTCAATCTCGGATCTACCCCTAAAATTTACACCGCTCCAGGTCCTATGAGTAATCACCACCACCGCTGTTCTTACGGCCGCCGGACGAAGAAGCCTCGTTGTGGCAAGCCTTCTACGAACAGACCCCAAGCCATCCAGTTGCGCAGGAACACTATCGCCATCCGATGCACCTCTCTTCCAATATCCCGCGCATCTGCTATAGCCGTGTCCGCATCCATGATCATGAAAGCTCCCGTTACAGGTTTCATCGTATAGCAAACTAACCAGTCTAAATGAAAGCGTACGAAGTCAGTGTATGTCTCACATGCATTTCGTATAGAGGCACTTACCAGCGCACCAAAAGAGGTACAAGCAACGTGTTCGATAAACCTGCAGATCCAAGCCTTCAATCCATGGCTCCGCTACCATCTGCACTTCTTTCAGCCCATCGACAGCATTTCCGAAAGCACTTGCCAGGGCCGCCATGGACGAAAGCCGAGATTCTTCATCGATGAATCCTATGCCGATCAATTCGAGGCAGCGCCGCTCTACTAGCTCTGCGAACTTGTGCAAGTTCGCGGTTGGGATTAGGTCTCCAATGGTATACGCTGAGTCTATAAGAGCTGATGCATAGTACGCCATTCGAGTCGAGATCAGCTCTCCTGGCAAGTCTCGGATAAACTTTCTCGCCTCTTCTGAAATCTCATCCAGAGGAGACTGTGGAAACAGATTCACTCCGACAGGTAGATGAACATCACGACGTGCTTTGAGGACAACACCGTTTAGAAAGTCAGCTGCTGTAGGATATGTGCCTTCCAGATACACGTCGGTTTCCATTCTCTTTATCTCCAGTGGCAGATGAGCCCAGTTGTCCTTCTTGTATGTCTCGAACCGTTCCTCCAACAGACATCGTCCAATCTTCGGGATGGTCGGTGCTGGTGGTACGTCGAGCGTTCCTAGTGTTGCGAGAATGGTATTGAGTGAGATACTGTCGAAAAGAAGATTGTGGAAATGTGTGGCGTATTTTGCGATGGGAAAATTGGTTACCAATTCTGTTAAAGATAATTTTCCACGCAACACATCATTCGGCGACCCATTCAAAAACTGGATATCTTCATCCGAGATAGCATTCAGGTGCAGGTCTGCGCTGATGCTGTTGCGTATAACATCCGGATCATCACAATCGTAGTACAACGCAGCATGTCCGCAATCGTAGAGTATTGTAATTGGCGAACTAGCTGCGTTGTCTTGCGTTCCCAATGTTACTAGTGGTCGCGGCGTGGCATCACCTGTCAAAAATACGGTGTGGTTGCCTGATGGACCGGCTGCTTCACCATCGCGCGTCTCCCATATTACGGCGATCCGCAGATCCTCGAACATGTTTACGAAGTCGCCCTCACTATAAAAGCTCGGTGTACCCCGCGTCTTTTCGCTTGGAAGTCTCCATTCGTGTTGGTGTGTGGTGGAGGCTGCATTGATCGGTCCGCCTAACTTGAATGCAAGAAGCGCGACCAAGAGGGGGTGCAAGAAGTCTCCCTGAACGGGCTTTGGTGTAGGACGATCGAGCGAACTAGATGCCAGCTCAGGCGACGAGTACATACTTGCAGCAACCTTCTCTGCGGTTGTCGAGGCCGCAATCTCCACACTATCTGCAATTCCAAGGGAGAATGCGACAGCCTTTGAACTTTCCAGCGTTTGCGCTAAAACTAGAAACTTCTGCACAAGCGGAACAGCATTTTCCCGTTCCGCGAAGGCTTTTTTCTGCTTAAACGCCGACAGAAGAGTATCCAGCATATCACGCCGATACTTCAATTTTCTGGTTGATATTCCAGCCCCCTGTGGTCTCTCCTCCAGTATTCGGGTATGGCGACGACATGCGACTCTGTCTGTAACGGCACGCCCAACGAGGCTGGGAGGTACCTGGACAGCGGCGTGGAAGGCGTGTGTTCGTTTCATCTAGGATTTGAGCAACTTTCGCCGTTTGAAAAGGCTTTGTACAAAGCGCTCAACAAAAGTACAATCGAGCTACCGGCGCTAGGCGTAAGATCTCGAGGAGGCACACTGGAAAAAAATACTATAGTCGGAAAACCGCGAGATGAGTACAGCCCTAGGAAGTGAGTAAAGCTGCAGAGAATCCCAGAGAAGTAGATGTTGTTTTCTTACCAAGCTCTTTGACAAGTCCAGCCTCGCCTACTTGAGGCCAACAAGCGGTTTGAGACTGTCAAGCACATGGCAGATGTCCAACACCACGGTCAAGCTGCCGCTCTGCCCTCGTACCCACCCATGTGCCTTTGCTGTCTATAAATTCTGCTTTGCCGTCTATTAGCTACAGATCGGCAAATATTGCCTTCATGCTATTATTAAGGTATGCGACCTACTCGTGGTATGATCAGATGGCGCTGAGCTAGGCTGATCATGTCTTATCCTTGATTGACAAGATTGGATTACACAACGCTCTCAACAGTCTCGGGTCTGTGAGTTCGTAGTGGCCGCGATCAAACACGTACCTTCAATTTTCGCGCCTTGGAAAACAACCACCTCGCACTATGCCAGACGAAAAACCAACGGGAAGATGGTGCTATTCTTCCCATGTAACTTCCAGATTTCGAATTGAGCAATCGATCGTATCCAGTTAACGTCCGTCCGCGATGCTCGTGGCCCTTTATTCAAGTCGTATTTGTCAGGCCCTCGTCGCAATACCATCGTATGCGACACATACGTCAACGCAGAGTGTAGCTGCTGAATTTGAGCACGTCTCATCTCTTTGTCTAAGATCGGTTTGCGACAGATCTCAGCATACCTGGCAGCTTGAGTTGAGGAAGTGTCAGTATCAACGAAGACGAAACCATGTTGCGACATGTAGGCAGGGGTTACAGAACGGCTGCTTAAGTTCATTGTTCCAATCCTCCATGCAACGAACGCGGCCTCAATATGAGGAATGAGGAAGATGGTAGGGCGTTCGCTCGGTATGTCGGATGTGGCACAGTCTAGTCGTGTCTTCAAGCCACTCGCGACTTCAGAAAGATCGACGTCAGCGATGAGGCTTATCAGGGCTCGAGCGCAATGACCAGGAAATCCAGGTAAGCAGAGATGACTCATCAGGCCGAAGTCGCGTGCTCCAGTATTGATGAATCCACCATGCGATGTACGGAATTATAATCAAATGAGAGCACATGCGTACTGTAGTTTAGCCTGGTTACCTCCCGACGTGCGCTTGATCTTGGAGATTCTTCATTTGAGCCTAAGAGGCATCATGGAAGAAGACACGCAAGACTCGCTTGCGTAGTTGCTTCATGTATCAAAGTCAGCGACTGTTATCATGTAGCTCCTGAAGCTGCCTTGAATAATACGTTCGACTTGTAAGAGCTTTTTCTTTCACTGCTAATAGATTATCTGCCGTCCGAGTGGTTCCTCCAATAGCTTGCTGGGGGTCTGGTCGTATTTCGGAACTCGCTGCAGCTCACTGCCGATAGTTCTTCCGCGACAGACTTCTAGTGCGTACAGTTCGCAGACGTTGCTGTTAATGCGTTCGAGATGGAACCACCGGAAAAGTATGTAAGCATCGAAATAAAGCCGGAAGATCGTCTGCGCGTCGAAGAAGTGGGTTTGTACAGCCTTTGAACCAGGCGATCGGGCTTTTGTTCTACCGTCATCAAAGGCCTCCCCTTGAACGGAAACCGTGGGTTTGTCATCAGCTTACCCGATAGCTCGATTTGCAGGCCCAAAGGCGAAGAGAATAGGGTTGCCGTACTAGGCTAAATCAATCAAGGCTCAAACGTCCATTGCGCGTTCGCACATGGCGTTCATCTTCAATGTCAGCCCTGCGGCGTCAATGCGACATACTGGTAAACTCCGACCTAAGTATCATGTTCAGATCAGGGCAGCAATCGGATGCGACGGGCGCCGCTGTAGAAAATCAAAGGGCACTCTAGACGAAACGAAGAAGACAAGGAAGGACCGACTTCTATACACTAGTAAATAAACTCAGCGCTTGGACTTGGTTAAATTACCCACACCCCAGGAACATCAACGCTTCGGTCCGTATACGTCTGGGGAGTACTGCGCAAACTGGGCTTGGAAAATGATTGGCGTGTGCCAAAGTCAAGAGCTATTCGCTGTTTCGAGTCAACGTTGCGGCCAAATGTTAAGCTTTACGGCTTGGACACCGACGAAAGACCATCAGCTATAGGGCAGTGGCCAATATGAGAAGTATGTAAGAGCCGCGACCTCTTCAGATAGTGCTTCAATCATCACTCGCACATCCTGCAAGTTTCCCTTCAACCTCTTGTTTGAATTTTTTTGGCTACTAGCCGTCCTCTCATTTCGAAATGCGTGTCTCGAACGCTGCCGCTCTTTTCTCTTTGGCCTCTTTGGCTCAGGCTGCTCCAGCCATTCATAACCACAAGCATGCTCACCCACGTGATGTTGGCTACGGTAGTGGCGTGAAGTACCAGTCTGGTATCTTCTACGTCAACTGGGCTATCTATGCGCGTCAGCACTTCGTCACCGATCTCCCAGCCGACAAGTTGACCAAAGTCAACTACGGCTTTGCCAACGTGAACAACCAGACCGGAGAAGTCTTTCTCACCGACGAGTGGGCTGACATTCAGTTCGGTTACCCAGGAGACGTTGCCACTAACGGCACTCAATTGCTTGGCAACTTCAATCAGCTGTTCAAGCTCAAGCAGCAGAACCGCAACCTGAAGGTCATCCTCTCGGTCGGTGGCTGGAGCTACAGGGCCAACTTCAAGCCCGCCCTCGCCACCGAGGCGGGCCGCCAGAAGTTCTGTGACAGTTCTCTCACGCTCATCCAGGATCTGGGAATCGACGGTCTTGACATTGACTGGGAGTACCCAGAGGATGAGACTGATGGTGCCAACTTGGTTGACACCTTACAACGCTGCCGCAGGGTATGTATTCATTTTCAAAACCTTTACTGTCCACCAAGTTAACATGTCTTCAGACGTTCGATGAGTACGCGATAGTTAACGCGGCGGGTTACCACTTCGACCTTGGTATTTCTGCCCCTGCTGGTCCTTCGCGCTACACAGTCATGCCTGTTGCCGAAATGGACCCATACGTTGACAACTGGAACCTGATGGCTTTTGACTACCAGGGCCCTGGCTTCTCCAACTTCACTGGTCATCTCAGCAACGTTTACCCCAGTTCCAAGAACCCCAGGGCTACAAATGGCTGGGATGTTGTCACTGAGGACTTCGTCCCCTTCAACACCAAGGAAGCCATCGACTACTACAAGGCTAATGTTGCTTCGCCCAGCAAGATTCAGCTCGGTATGCCTCTTTACGGCCGCTCTTTCGCCAACGTTGTCGATCTGAGCAAGGAACAACGTGGTTTGGGCCAGAAGTTCAACGGATCTGGTGACGGTACCTGGGAGCCTGGTACTCTTGACTACAAGGTTCTTCCCCAGAACGGCAGCAAGGTATACCACGACAAGGAGACTCTGGCCGCCTGGAGCTGGGACCCAGTTCGCAAGCAGATGGTTAGCTTCGACACACCCAAGGTTGCCTCATGGAAGACCGATTACCTCATGCAAGAGGGTCTCGGTGGTGCCTGGTGGTGGGAGTCATCTGGCGATTTTCCCGTTACTGATGACAAGAGCATCGTCGCCACTGTTGTTAACAAGCTTGGTGGTGAAGCAAACTTCAGGCAGAGCTGGAACAACCTTTACTACCCCAAGTCGAAGTACTACAACATCCGCCCTGCGGTGAACTCGACTATTACAATCACCTTTTAGGTAGTGAGTCCGGCGTCCTCAATCAGTCAACTCAAAGCCAGCCGATAATTATTTTCTACACAACTACAATTTAGTAGAACATTTTACTTGCAATATTGTCGCAAGGGCTTAATGCAAGAGATGCACGTGATGCGAACTCACGAGCAACTCGTACAATGAATATCTCAGCTTCCACTGTGACCATATACTGCCTATTGTTCTATAATCTCGGAAGTTCAAATCATCATGCCTCTCCTGTTTCACTCTAACATCTCCCTACAATCCTCTCCTGTACGCATATGATACCCAGGATTATCAAACAAGCCTGTCGTGAGCACCTGTCCTTGAAGCTCCAGCCGCTGCAGCGGATTTCCTGATAATATCATAGGGAAGGTCTGGCAAGATACACCGATGAAGGCGTAAAGGCCGAAGCAATGAACATGAGTATATCACCATCAGGCAGACTAATGATATTCTCCTCCATGTTGACAATGACCAGATCATCGGGCTTATGCATCAATGTATGTTCACCGCTTTTACCGAAAGCTTCCAGTATAACGGGGAGAAGTTCGGAGGCCCAGAGTGATTAAAATGTCTTGAAACAAGAAGACAGAGGTTGGCCTTATGGCCACTGGTAAGTTGTCACTTACTGTGCACAGAAAAGATGAGTGCACATGATCAAATGCTAGACGCTCGGTCTTCCGTGTACGCCTTATGATCAACTCTGAACTTGGTGACTATGTTCATTACGGTAAGAGTATCGTGATACTTAATTGCTAGGGGTGTTCTTCATTGAATGATTTAGATCTGGTGGAGGGTGTATGGCGGCGAAGAGCAAGACGTGATGGTCCACGACGTCATCCCTGCCAGCTACTGATCTGAAAAGTGCGGCTCAGATCGGACCCACTTCCCAAGTAAGCAACACCTGTCTGTCCAACCCCACCAACATGAATGCCATTGTGTTCCGCTGTTCCAGTCTTCTCAGGAACCAATACAAGCCATCTGGACTCAACAGTATTCGGATCTACTCACCTGCGACGAGATTGGTGAGCAGCATGTC